TACTTAATTGAGAATGAATGGGGTTGGAAAGGATAAGGATTTGTTAATTTCTTTAGAGGTTTAAGAATTCAGCTCAGTGGTCATGTTACGGGGGTTCTCTGAGTAAGATGGAGCCTTTCTCAGATTTTGGTGGGCTTTGCTCTGGGGATTAGGGTCCTGGAAACATAATAACCACCAAAGTCACCCTGAGCCAATGGCTTCTGAGTTCATTGTTTCACAATCAAGAATGACAAGCCAGGACAGTAGGACAAGCAAGCAAGGTTTTATTGCGATGGAGAAAGGAACTCAAAAATGAGTTGCTATCTGGCTTTCTGGCACAGGTCTTTTACATGCTGGAAATAAGCCTGACTGGCTCCATCCATATGTAAATTACACATCAATATGGGGTGAACCTGAGTGGCTAATTTGAATGTATTTGGGGAGTTCTGATTGATCACTGGGGTCCATTCCCAGGAAAACCCACTGGCAGGGAAAAAGCCTGCCAAGAGGGGGTGAGGAAGAACAAGGAAGTAAAAAGAAAAAGGCTGGTGGTTAGTTGACATCTTTCTTTGGTTTGTTTTGTTTAAGGAAGGAAGAGTTTATTTTGGCTTAGTTTGAGGGTACATTCCAACAAACCAGGGAAAGTATGGAGGGAGAACAAGAGACAGCTAAGTCACCCTGCATCCTGCAATCCAGAAGTAGAGAAAGATGATGCTGGTGCTCAGTTCACTTTCTTTTTTTTTTTTAATTTTTTAATTTTTATTTTATGTGTATGAGTGTATTGCCTGCATATAGGTAAGTGCACCCATCGTGCAATTCCCACAGAGGACAGAAGAGGCTGTCAGATCCCTTGGAACTGGAATTACGGAGAGTTGTTAGCTGCCATGTGGGTGCTGGGATTCAAACCCGGGTCTTCTGCAAGAAGAGTCAAGTGTTCTTAACCTCTGAGTCATCTCTCCAGTTCTTCAATTTACTTTCTTTTTAAAAAATAATTTCTATTTCTTCTTTGAAAATTTCATACGTTTATACAATTTATTTGGATCATATCCATCTACAACTACCTTCCTCCATCCCTAGTGCCCCCATCCTGCCCAAATTCATGTCCTTTTTTTCTTGCTATTAGCCCCATGAGTCCAATTAGTGCTGCCCATTCGTATGTGGATGTGGGGCAATCTACTGGGGGGATGCGCAACATACCAGCAGCCACATCCCCAAAGGACAGTGACTCTCCCTCCTTCAGCAGCCATCAGCTGTCAACAGTTCCTTGGCTAGGGGTGGGGTATGGGGAGCCTGTCCCTCATCTATGGTGGAATTTTAACTGACTTGATTTTGTGCAGGTCCTGTGCAGATAAACACAGCTGTTGTTGAGTTCATGAGCACAGCAGCCAAGTCATGTCTAGAAGACAGCATTTCCCAGCCGTCTTCACATTCTGCCAGCTCTTAAATTCCTTCTACCTCCTTTACCTTGACAGTCCCTGAGCCTTGGACTGGGGGAGGTTGAAATAGATGATTCCTCCACAGCTGAATATTCAGTGACTAACACTCAGCACTTTGATCAGTTGTAAGTCTTTGCATTAACCACTACCCACTGCAGAAATAAGCTGCTCTGACTAAAGTTGAGAGCAACACAAATCTATGTGTATAAGTATAAATACTTAAGGGCAGTTTGAAAGTAGGACCATTTAGCAAAAACAATAGGTTTTCTCCCCTTCAGCGCCTAAGATCTCCTCAGTCATGGGCTTTTGACCAGGTTTACAGTACCACCCACCACGAAATACTTTCTGTGAGGCAGGCCCATATCTCATCAGAAAGCTACCTGTTATCCCCTAACTGTCATCCACTATTTCACTAGTGGACACCTACTGCTAGGCTTGTCAGTCAGTATTGAAGCATGCAGGGTTCCAGTGCTGGGTGAGACACCTGATGTCTTTTCTTCCCCAGCAGCCTGCACAGCACCTTCTGGCACTATGTTAAGCTAGCCAGCAGGGAGTTTCCTGGTGAGTTGAGGTTAACTTCTCTACATCCTGCATCGAAAATTGAGTGGTGTCTTTGTCAGTAGGGTTTTACCATCTAGTTATGGTGAGCAAGCAAGAGCAATGATAGTAGCCTGTTGTGTTGGATGCCTCTGGGACCTCTCTGACCAATAATGTATAGGAAGGTATCTTGTGTCTGGCACTGAGATTTTCATTTAATAACTCATGTCTTCTGGAAACAGCATTGCCCACCCAGGCAGTGTACTTCTGTTCAAACCCTTTTCAAAATAGGTGCCTTGAATAATAACAAATTACATTTTTATTTGTTGACTTTTATTTATTAGGAATATGTATTAGTTAACTTTTTTGTTGCTGTGATAGAAACACTGACTAAAGCAACTTATAGAAGGAAGAGTTTATCTGAGCTTATGGTTCCAGGGGAATTACAATCTGTCATGGCGGGGAGGCATGATGGCAGGAGGTGGATGGAGCAGGAGCAGAAACAGAGTGCTCACACCTTCAAGCAGGCACAGGAAACAAGAGAATGACTTAAGATCCAGCAAGGCTTAAGAACTCTCTAAGCATGCCCCCAGTGACATACTTCCTCCAGCATAGCTACGCCTTCAGAGACCTCCCAAAACTGCATCACCAACTGGGTACAAAATGTTCAAATACTTGGAGTCTATGGGGGACATTCTCATTCAAACCACCACAGAATAAGACATTTCTAGGATTTACACCAGTGAGTTACAATTGTATAGGACACAATATTACAAAACAAAAACAAAAAGGGCCAGGCATGGAGGCACACACCTTTAATTCTAGCACTCAGGAGGCAGAGGCAGGCAGATTTCTGTAAGATCAAGGCCAGTCTGGTCTACATGATGAGTTCCAGGCCTGCTGGGGCTACAGAGAGACCCTGTCTCAAACAGAACCCCCCCAGACCACCCCCCAAAAGACACAGTATTATAATCACTAAATTTGTTTTTGTTTGTTTGAGACAGGCTCTCATATATGCCAAGCTGGCCCCTATGTAGCTGAGTATAGCCTTGAACTCACAAGCCTCCTGCCTCCATTTCCTGAGTGCTGGAATTATAGGGGCATACTATCATGCCCCGTTTATGTGGTATCAAGGATGGAACCCAGGACTTCATGTATGCTAGGAAGGCATTTACCAAGCTGAGTTATATTCACAGTCTTCCATCATTACATTTGAATATTAACTCATCTTCTTAATCATTATCTTTTTTTCCTATTCTTTATTTCTTTTTATTGAAGTATTATTGGAACCTATACTAGTAGCAAATATCATGATTACCAGCTAGCATCCCTCTCTACAAAAACACCTTTCCACCATTTTTACCAAACCATATGACTTAGTGGACTCACATATACTCGACTGGATATGAATGATAAAAATGTTGTGTGCAAGACAATCACATACATTTGACTACTACAATCAGCTGAAGAGTAATCAGAGAAAAGCTCAGGACTTTTGATCTATTATGATAAGAAACCCTCTCTACCTGCCTAACATCTTTCAAGTCTTGGCATCACATGGCTGTCATTACTCATTCTTCAAGTCAAGAACAGGAGCAGCTCTACCCAGGGAAGAAGGAAGGCCAGGAGAACCAGTAAGGTTACAATCTAAACAAATAACAACAAAAAACTATGTAACTTCTAAACTTTTGATTGATAGGTTCCAATTAATATACCTTGTTTATAGTTTAAGCAAATTTAAAAATGCTTTTGTGTTTTCAGCAATCAAAAGTGCTCTGAAAGAAACCATAAAGGAATGTTTAAAATAGCTCCTCTTGGGTGGAGAGATGGCTTAGTAGTTAAGAGCACTGGCAGTTCTTGTTAGCACCCACATGGCAGCTAACAACCATCTGAAACTCCAGTTAAAGGGGATCCAATGCCCTCTTCTGTCCTCCATGGGTATTGCACAACACAGGTGTACTTGCATACATGTATGCAATACATGCATACACATAAAAATAAAGTGAAAAATACCACTATTTCTTCTTCAGTTTAGTTTGTATTGTGAAAATGTTCATTTTTATAATTTACAGAAAGAAGCTAAAACAACTAAAGATCTGTCTCAATTTCCCACCTTCTTTGCCATTTTAATGAAACTGCCTAAAAAGTTAGCTACATTATGATAAGCTTTAAACAGGTTATCTATTTATAAGCTTGAGAGCACTTAAAATGTTAAATATAAGGAAACCAGAGATATTTAAAGCCTTTTAATCCAAGTGAAACAGTAAATAGTTTAAATGTCAACAATGTTTAAGATCCAAGTACCAATAATTATGGTCTCTTTTTAGCTCTGGCAAAGAGCAGATTTTGTAAACATATTGAAGAGAAACAGTATGATTTGTAGAGATCTAAAAGTACTTAAGTAGCCAGAAACAGTGATGTACTGCTCTAATCTTAGCTGCCAGGAGGCTGAGGCAGCAGAATGCAAACAGTGTGCCTAACTCTGGGTTCAATCCCTAGTAACATTCAAAAATAAAAGCGACAAAACGAAAATCTTAAATGATTATGGAGAAGATGCCAATGTTATCAGGAAGGAGGCATGAAAGAAACTGGTGGGACAGTTTCTGCCCATTCTGTCCTAATTGCCTAGAGAAGTCATATAATTCTAAGGAAAGACAAACTGCTTACAGTACAAAGCGCTTTTCTGCCACTCTACAAGATCTTTAGGAAGAATAATGAACCAGGGTCTTTAAAAAAAGTCCTTATTTAGCCAGGCGTGGTGGCACGCACCTTTAGTCCCAATACTTGGGAGGCAGAGGCAGAGGCAGGTGGATCTCTGTGAGACTGAACTCAAGGCTTTGTGCATGCTAGGTAAGCACTGTACCAAGGGGCTATATCCTAGCACCTGCCTTTGCCTCAAAAGTGCTAGGATTAAAGGTGGGTGCCACCATACTGGACTTCCTACTTTAAATTCTTAAAGAGCAACTTTTATATAGAAAACAAAGAAAGCAAAGTTCTTTATTTAGCCAAAAAAACATGCCAGACAAAAGAATAATTTCCACATTTTACCTCGATAGTAGGCCTTTGTTATTGCATCAAATTCCTCTTGGCCTGCAGTGTCCCATAACATTAGCCTGACATCTTCATCATTAACTCTGAAACAAGAGATGAATTTATTCCACATGAAAAGGCTTTGTGTAAACTTTACTTTTCAAACCCAAAAGTTTGAAAACTATATTGTTGGTTTCACTCTGAAAAGGTCTAAGAAAAGTAGTTTTAAATGCTGGTAATATTCCCAGCAATTAAATACAGCCATAGCGTTACACTTTACCTGCCATAGTTTTTTTCTGCAGTAACAATCATAGATAATAGTGGCTCTAAGATTAGCAGAACTGGTAAAGGGGAATTCTTTAGGTCAGGCTTTCTGCTGTAATTTCAGTACTAAGGAGTCTGGGACAGGACAATCTTGAATTTAAGGCCAGCTTGGGCTACATAATAAGACACTGTCTTGAAACAAAAAAAAAGAACTCCCAGTTTTTTCATTAACTGATCACGATCTATTCTTGCTTTATGTGTTTCTATTTAAAAACATTATATATTAGCTCACTGAATTCATGCCTAATAGCACTACAAAGCAATAGCACTGTAACTATGCTTATGAACAAGGCTTATTTAACACAAGTATTTTTCTCCATAAGGCACAGCATAGCCTTCCTGCACTTAAACAGTACTACATACCTAGGGTCATTTGAAACAGTTAAATCACAAATGTGAAAAATGTGGCATTACACAGATCACAAAATGACATGTTTATTGTATAAGAGCTAAAACAAAGAGTTAACATTTGACCTCAGCTGGGAAAGTGCATGTTAAATGAATGTTTTTGTAGCCCTGTGTCTACCCAACAAATGACCACAGAAGAAGTGATTGTGCAGTTACAGATAATTTTTTAGTAAGTAGGTGAATTTGGAAAAAAAAAAAAAATGAGCAGAGGCTCAGCAGTTAACAGAAGATCCAAATATGGTAGCTCACAACCACCTGTAACTCTAGCTCCCAGAGGTATCCAATGCCTCTGGCTTCTGTGGGCACCTATACTCAATATGTATATATCTATACACAGACACAGAATTAAAAATAAAGTAAATCTTTAATGAAGAGCAACTATAAACCTAAATTATTAACCTATTGTCTCAAGTACAAGTACAAAATACATACACTAACAAGACAAAATGAGTCCTTTTAAAATACTTTCTAAGAAAAGAAGCAAATACGGAAATACCAAAATAGTATACTTAAATACAGACCAGAGCTAGTCTTTGCAACAATGAAGACCATGAAGACTTCTTACTATCTTTGCTTGAAGTTAGTAACTGGGCCAGTAAGTCATATTTGTTTAATGTTTCTTGTTTATGTAATACATTTAAGTTTATCTCTTACAACCTAAATAAGTGTTAATAGTTCTCAACATTAAAGACAAAAAGTATCACTCTCAAGTATTTTAGAATCCAACTGAATTTCCTCAACTAGGATACACTTTCTATAGGCAAATGTAATACTCCTAAATCTGTTTTATTTCTTTAGGATAAAAGCATATATTATATTTTAAATCTACATAGTCTTCAGTTTTAAAAAGAAAAGAGATGCCAGGCATACTGGTCTACTCCTGTAATTCAGGGCACTTAGAAAATGCAGGCAAGAGGATCAGAGTTTAAAACCAACCTCTGCTACTTGCTAGCTCAAGATCATGCTTGGCTACATGAGAACCTGCCTCAAAATTTTTTAAAAAAATTAAAAATTAAAACAAGAGACATTCTAACAAAAGAAGCCTTTGAGATGAACACTTTGAGACATCTAATTTCTAAATAAAATAGCAGGTAAAAATCAGTCAAACATCAGTTTGTGTTTAAGAAGTACCAAGGTATCACTAATAAATATAAAACAGATGTCAGGAAAAAAAGAAGAGTAATAAGGAAAAAGAAAAAAATGAGAGGAAGGAAAAAAGATGAAAGAAAAAAGAGACCAAGATTAAAGATAAAGTAATGATAACTGAAAATTACCATGAAGCCCAGCATGATGGCACACATCTAGAATTCTAGCACTCTGGAGACGCCAGTCTAATGCCAGTTTGTCTACAACAGCAAGACTGTCTCTCAAAAAATAGGAAAAATGGGCTTGGGATGGTAGCTCAATCCTTTGTAATCCTAGCACTTGGGAGGTGGAAGCAAGAGTATTAGGAGTTTAAGGTCATCCTTGGCTACACAACAAGTTTGAAGCCAGCCTGGTCTACATAAGACCGTGTCTTCAAAATCTAAATAAAACAAAAAACTAACAACAAAACCCCAACAACATCAACTGTAGCATGAGCCACTCCCACCAGTTGCCTGACTTACAATGCACTGTAATTATTACTGTTCCAGTGAGTCTTAAGGCATAGTTTACAAATCAAAATGAAAGGATAAAATAGCTAAGTACATACTGGATCTGTCGTTCCAAGAAATCAACTCCAATGGTTTTCTTGTAGTCTTTTGTGAAAATGCCTTTGCAATATCGCTGAATCATACTTGACTTTCCAACTGCTCCATTCCCTACAACCACCATCTTGATGGCCACTTCTATATCTTCCTCCAACATTTTTGAAGTAGAAATGTTTTCTGTACCAACTCTAATTCCAGGTGACCAGATCTTCTCTCTCAAATCTGTAGTTTAAAATGAAATTATTTTTATCAAGAAAATAATCGCATTACATTTGCAGGAATTTGCTTATAAGATTGAGGCTCCCAGGGACTGGAGAGATGGCTCAGGGGTTAAGAGCACTAACTGCTCTCACAGGGGTCCTGGGTTTGATTCCCAGGACCCACATGGTGGCTAACAACTGTTAAGGTTCAGATAGCCCCACCCCCTTACCAACAGGGTCTCAAGGACTTCACAAACTCCTGAGATAAGGGAACTAGCTGATAAGCACCCTGGTCTTTGAAGTTAAGAGAAGCAGACTTTTCTCCACTGTTTGGCCAACACAGCAGGCTTCCCCTTTGATCTCTAAAGAGAACAGGTTTTAAAAGTCCCACTCCCACCCCCGCAACTTTAAAAAAAAAAAAAAAAAAAAGTCTTCCCGCCTTCTACAGGAAGCAGAAGCCCCCCCCTACCCCCTTCCAGCTCATGACCCAGGGCAGACATTTTCCCTGCCTGGAAGGGAATCTGTCCCATGTGTTCCTTTGCTAATAAACTCTGCTCTCTCCTGATCAATGCTATTCGTCATATGGCTACTTTTTACCTATCAACAACCATCTTTAACTCCAGCTCCAGGGGATCCGGCACCTTCTTCTGACCTCCGCAGGCATTGTACAACATGGGTACACTTACACACATGCAGGCAATACACTCATACACATTAAAAAAAAAAAAAAAAAAAAAAAGACTGAGGCTCCCATTCTACCTTCTCTCAATAACAATAATCCCTGAAAGATCAAAGTAAGTTCTGGTACCTTTACCTTCATAATTCTCCCTTTGGCACTGGAGTTGAAGTTTTTGACTAAAAGGTAGTAGTTCTGTGTTTACTGAATTTATTACTCAACTCTCTAAGATTCAGTATGCTGGCTAGAATACCTACCTCATAAGGCTGTTGATCAAGAACTCATACAGGACTTAAGCAATCTTAAAGTTAAGCACACAAAAATTAGTTTTATGCAACACAATAAATCCACACAGTATAACAACAAATGAGGAGGAGATGTAAAACCTGAGAAACTACTATTCAACCTTATGGATAATAACACCTTTTTAAAAATGTAGGAAATACCATATTTTAAAATGAAATGGAGATCTTCTTTAAAGGTTAAACACTCATTCAATTTTATGTCTTACAGGGTTTATACTGAGTTCAGTATTGTATGACTGTATTAATTCAACTGTGAACCTAAAAATTTACAGTCACCTTTGAAAGAGATGTATCCTTGCTCTGGAATGTGTTACTGAATATGTTAAAGTTGTCATGTGGTTATTACATTTAAAAATTAAAACAAAAAAAAAAAAACTACTCTTGCCGGGTATGGTGGCGGATGCTTTTAGTCCCAGCACTTGGGAGGCAGAAGCAGGCGGATCTCTGTGAGTTCAAGGCCAGCCTAGTGTACATAGTGAGTTCAGGTCAGCTGGGGCTACAGGGAGACCCTGTCTCAAAAAAAACAAAAATACAAAACAAACAAACAAACAAAAAAAAACCTACTCTCAAAGAAAGGTCTTGTGTAATAACATATAGTCATGAGTCAGCACTGGGACCTTGGTTACACTGTTTTAGTGTTGATACTACAATGAGTTCTGTACAAATAATCTTACACCACAAATACTTTTAGTTTCAGACCAGTTAAGGTTAATCATACAATGAAAGTACATTTCAGACTACAAAGAAGAGAAAGTCAATGTCTTCATAGTTCTTAAAATTACAAGTCTCTTGCCTAGTTACCTATTATATTTCAACTGCCTCAACTAAAAGCCCATTTATACATTCACTATACAAACTGAGCCTGAAATGTGAAGAACATTTCTAGGTTTTTTGAAGTCTCAGCAGCTGTGCCTGGTATTTGACAAACTTGCATGATCCTAAGACTACTTGTTAAAGTGGGTCTTAACTCATACATGGGTCCTAAGAGATCTAGGAGTACTTGTTAAAGTGGTTCTTAACTCATACATAGTCATACACGATCTTCTCAGAGTAGTAACCTTTGAATCTGCTTAAGACAAGCATAAGCTGGTCATGGTGGTATATACCTGCAATTCCAGCACTCAGGACACAGACACAAGAAGACTGCCTCAAGTTGAAGGTCTGTCTGGCCTATATGAGACCATGTCTCCAAAAAAATAACAATCACAAAAGTGTGCAGCTTAGATCTCCCTTCAGAAGAAATGTTAGCTAGCAGGCTTCAGCTACCACAACAGCTTCAAGGATCCACCACACTGCCCACTCCTTTTGAAGCTACACTTTCCCTCAGGCGAACACTGACAGGCAGGACAACTAGAGGGAGGTCAACTCTGCTCAATGTGGAGTTCCCCTTTGCACTGCCCTCTTCATTAAACTAGCTGAGATATTCTCAGAGCAGCTGCAGGCTGGAGCTCTTCCCTCCCAATTCTTCCACAGATGTCAAACTGGCATTGCAGTCTTAAAACACTCCCCCACCAGTCTCTTGCCCTGCTAATTCCATCTTGGTGTTTGCTTCTTGAATGACTCAAATGGACACATGCACCCAAGCAAGTACATGTTAGAACCACTACCCTATGCTAGTGATTCTCAACACTGGAATCATCAAGAGAACTTCAAAAAACAGTAACGCTTACATCCTGTCCTGAGAACACAATTTAAATGTTCTAAGATATGACCCAGCATCACGTTTTGGCATCTTACTACTCTACAAAAATGTTTAGTCTTCAGGATACTCAGGATCAAATCTAAAATTCTAGCCATTTGTGGTGGCATATGCCTGTAATTCCAGCACTTACAAGGCTGAGGTAGGAGGGCAGCCATCAGTTTGAGGCCAGTGTGAGCTACACAGTGAGATCTTCTCTCAGAAAACAAAATATAACAATAAAAATCTACAGTTCCTACCAAGATCTGACCCTTGATTTACCCAGCTGTATTTCACACCAGCTCAGTTTTAGGAAGGCAACTTCCTTTTCTCTACCTAAGCAATTCTTCACCCCAGAAATTGTAAAATTCAAAAAAAGCAACAATAGTATCAACAAAACAGCAACAACAACAACAAAAAACTTAACATTTTATCTTTCTAAAAATATATACTTCAGCCTGGTGTGGTGGCACAGACCTTTAATCCCAGCAATGGGGAGGCAGAGGCAGGCGAATCTTTGTGAGTTCAAGGCCAGCCTGGTCTACATACTGAGTTCCAGGACAGCTGGGGCTACAGGGAGACCCTGTCT